TGGTAATGCTTAGGTTTAGGGTTAGTTTTATGGTTAGGGCGTAGAAAGGGTTGAAAATGACTGAAAAACAATGGAAGTAAATGTTAGTTAACACATGATCCTCACTACACCTAGAAGAACAAGCATGTGGGTGTATGTGCGTGTGAGTGTGTGCAAATTAGCTGGCTTTATGAACCTGTATACATACTATAAGCTTTTAGACAGTGTTTAATATATTTTTCCCTGTTAAATTAAGTTTAAACATAATAAATATCTAGATGTTAGGGAATATCTATATCTGCCTCTCAGCTTGAATTTCTTCCTCTGCAGAGGAAAGTAATACTAAAAAAAGGCTGCTTGAATCGCCTCGAAACTGTAATATGACCTAACTGCCTCATTAAGCTGGAGGCTGTTTTTGTCAATAACTTTTCTCTTCATAACAAGCCGCAAGTTATAGAGAGGCTTCTCCACTTGACTGACTGAAAATATAAATCAATGTTTTAACAGAATAGAGCGACTGGTGGAAGGAGGTCGAGACCCCTTATCTATCCTGCAGGGGGAGAGGGAGATCCTGAAGAGCGAACATAAGGAACAGGTGCAAAGGACTGAACTAAAGCGTCTGGAGACACAAATCTGTAAAAAAGAGGTAGCTCTGGCTCGGACTCGGATTACCGAACAAAACCTTAAGGCTGCCCAGCTGAAGAAGGAAGAGGTACGTAGTTACAAGTCAATAGTGTCGCAACACTGGAGAGATGATTACAAAAATGTGTCTATTACTTATCCCTCTTCATCACTCACCTGAGAATATCTTGTTTTTCGCCAGACTGCTCAGCTCATGAAGAGATATGCAGAAAAACGTCTGCAGGAGGAAGAACAATTCAGGGAATTGGCGAAACAGGTGGCAGAGGGCGAGAAAAACGCAAAGGCAGCTAAAGAAAAGATCACAAAGTTAAAGCAGAAAATTGGTACGACTTAAACTTTGACAAAAGACAAAGAGCAATTTTATGATTCATTATGACCTCTCGTCAATTAAACGCTCATTTCACAGTGAAAGAAGTATCCGAACAAAATCAGGAGCTCCTTCGTCAAGCGCTTGAGGAACAACAGAAGGAGCTTTGCAGAAAGTTTCAAATCATCCATGAAATTCACGTTATCGAGACTCTTCCTCGCATTAGACTAAACGGCTTTGATGACACGGAGGTGAGTAGATTTCACACACAGCTTCATGGTAGCCTGCGGGACCTCTAACCTGTCTTTGGGTGTCAGACTGCGGACCATGAGCTGCACAGTGGGATGTCCCTGGCAGAGCTCAAGGTGAGGCTGGCTCTGCTGAGGCAGCGCCAGCAGAAAGAGGAGGAGGAGAGACGGAGCCTCATTGTGGCGGAAAGACAGAAAAAGAAGCAGGAGATGCAGGAGGCGCTTGAGAAAATTGAGCTACACAGGAGAGTGCTTGCAAAGGAAGCTGCAGACAGGTAGTAGTTCTGAACTGTTCATAAAAGTGGTGAATTCCAACTTAAGCTGATGGTGGCTTTGAAACAATGCAGAAAAGAGGAAAAGAAGGCCAAGCAGAAGCTCCTACAGCAGTTTGTGGCACAGGATGAAACCATCCTGGCTCTAAAAAAGAAGTTAGAAGAGAAGACGCAGGAGTGCCAGAGAATGAAGCAAACTGAGAAGAGCAGGACCAAACCCACAAAGAAGGCCTCCACAGGACCACTAGCTCAGGTGAGTTTCCCTCAGGAGTTCATCCTGCTTGTCTTTGAGTTTCTGCATTTACAATTAATCATTCTCTTTATCTTCTTTTCCCAGAAAGATGTAAAAACATGGGAGGAACTGGAGCAAAGTTTAGCTCGCTATATTCAGGATACTCCATGATTCAACCTTTTCCGAGAAAACACGTAACGGTCTTGTGAAAGGCACTCCCTAAGATAGTTCTTCCTTTATCTTCTCATGATCCTAAAGTTTCCTGACACCTTATTTTGTTTTAAATCCTATTAAAGTGACGTTATGCACAGAATCAGATCATCAGCTCCACTCCTATTTCTAGACCAGATTTTGTTTCATTTCCTCCCACAGCTTCATAAAGCATGAAAAGGTGAAAAGAGAAGTGGGCCTTGAACCTGTGACTCAAGAGGGAATTTTCCCTCCCAACAAAACCAGTTCATGGAAACAAGTTACTGAAATTTGTTCACTGTTAATAAGAATGTTCAGAATTATCTGTGCAGAAATGTCACATAAAGAAAATTGTGGCATTAACTTATTGTCATATTAAAGTCATATAGAAAAATATATTTCCCCCCAGCAAAAAATAATCAGTCAGTCTTTACATGTACAGCACTCTACATAGTCAGCTGTAATGCAAATTTGTATTTGTATAGGTTGGAATAGGCACACACAATGAAATAATTAAATCAAACTAAATATTGATATCAAAACAATAACGAATAAAAGGAACTGTGGAATGAGGAACCAAGGAGTCATGTTTGTTAACCCGGATCACAAGCTAAATTGCAAGAAAAAATTTTATGCTTACTAGAGAAGAAATGAAATTATTAAAAAAAGGAACTTACAAAAATGTTCATTAGGAACAGGCCAATGACAAAACAACAGGAGAAATTTTGATGTTGGTGCTAAAGACAATGGCAGCTAAACATAATCCTGCAGAAAACAGAACAAGTCAGTTTAAAGGTGAAGAAATTCCAAACAAACAGAAGACTTCAGATGAAATGAGGAGTAGCCGAGTAAAGGTAGAGCAGCTGAGGGACAATACTAATTACCCAGAATTGTCCTGAAAAGACATACCAAGAAATCCCCTCAAATATCTAACTGGAAATATATTATAAACATAAAAAGGTTAGGTGTATGCTGTTGTTTATGCAACCAAATAACTACATAAATGCCTGGTGCAGGACAGGAGGGGCAGTAGTTCACAGCAAGGTCAACACCTCCATGAATACCTCTCTTACAACCATTATGGATAGATCTTGGTCAGAGAAGACAGATTATTTAAGAGAGGTGTGGAGGAAGCCATCTTTGTCAAAAGAGAAAAGGCAAACACTAAATAGTAGGGAAGCCTTGCGGTTTCAGCTCCCAAGCATATATGAACAGTCTCATCAAGATGGCCAAGGACACAACTCACCAAATGACAGACTCTAGCAGCTCAGGAGAACAACAGGTGAGTCATTGATTCACATCTAAATGTGCCTGTAGGACAGAGGGCCTCTATGTGCTTTTAAACAGAACATTTTAAGAAAAACTGAGAAAAACTCTGTTTGCCTCTGATTTAAGGCCATTTAGTAGGATTAAAAATGAACATAAAACAACGAAAAGGTCAGAATACACACTAAAAAAAAGTAAAACGAAAACTCAAACATCTCAGGTTTCTAAAATTCTTTACTTGGATTATTGTGTAGGTTTAATAATAACACAAAGATGTAAAAGAAAAATAGGTAAAAACTGGACAAATCAAGGAATATTCACACTATTCATAATTGATGTCAATTTTTTTTACGAAATCTAAGCAAATAATGAAAAACTAAATGATTTAGACAAATAAAACATGCTTCACTGAGGTGAATAAAAATACCGGATAAGTAGAAATGTCACATATTAAGGAAATAATATAAACAGCTATAAATGATTGATGTTATATTGATTTGAATAAAATAAAACTGTTTTTGAAGATTTAAAAAAAGGATGTGCACAAGTGATTGAAGTGATGAGAAGCACAAAAGATATACATATATAAAAAACATATTAAACATATATGATTGATGATGTAGAAATATGAGATAATGATAAAGTATGCATTTGTGTAAATTAGATATGAACAAAGAGAAGTTACTTAAATGGTTGGTGTTTAAAAAAATGTTAGATGAAAATACTTCCTACTACACTTAGTAAATAATTGACTTTACACAGAGAACAAATAATCTATAAATAAATCAAAATAAGTAAATCAATCAAAAATGATCGACGTAAATTAAAATAAGTTACCTAAATATTTGGTGTGAATAGAAATATATAACTGGTGCTTAATCTGAATAATGACAGAAAAATGTGACAAAATAAAGAAGACTGGACAGACTGGAGATGTAAGTTAAAAGAATATTTTAAAAATTCATAATTGATATACATACAAATGTGAATGTATTAGGGAAGAGGATTAGGGCCACTGAAAAAAATAAAAGAAGTTAACTGATTTTTAAATATTATTTCAGTTTAATATTGGAAAAAAGTCAGAATTCTGACTTTAATCTCAGAATTCTGACTGAATTCTGACAGCTAACAAACATGTTAGCATGAAGCTGAACCCATGTCATGTTTTAGAGACTAGCTCTCTTGTTTTAATGCCCTTCTGCCCCTCCATTAATGAAATAGCATCACTGGGGACGCCTTTGGCATGTAAAAAGTTGCCTTATTTCGTCATTTTTTACCTATGTGTTACTGGCCCTCCCAAACAACTCACTCTGTCAGTGAAGCTGAGTGCTCCGACATCTCTTCCTTCATTGTGTCTACATTAAGATCCCAAATCCTGAGATTAAAGTCAGAATTCTGAGAAAAAAGACAGAATTCTCAGATTAAAGTCAGAACTGTGGGATTAAATTTAGAATTCTGATATTAAAGTCAGAATTCCTACTTTTTTCTCATATGTGACCCTGCCTATGAAAACCCAGCTAAAGTCATTTTTTGGTGAATCTCAACTTAATGTATAAAACCATTCTTAACATTGTGTAGAATGGTTTTATACATTAAGTTGAGATTCACCAAAAAATGACTTTAGCTGGGTTTTCATAGGCAGGGTCACATATTATACCGAAATAAAATAAAACAAATCCGTTAACTTTTTTTGTTTTTTCGGTGGCCCTAATCCTCTTCCATAGAATATAATAAATACTTTATGTAAATAAAATATTTATCATCTACTTTTTTTAGTTCGTGATTTCGTGCAACAGCGCCCCTGCAGGCCGTTGGCTGTAAGAGCAGCAGCTCTGTTCTGGATCCTGCCCATTTTTTCTTGGTTTTATCCTCCAAAGTAAAATCACATGACGCGCATTTTGTCATATGACATCGATGATAGAGTTTATTCTCGGGTGAATAAGGACCTGGTGTTTTCAGCGATGAGATGCTGCAGACAGAGCCAGGGTGGAGGTTCAGGCTGATCCGCAGGAGGATGGACCGTCAGGGGCTTCTGTCTGCCTTCACCGCCGCTTGTTTCATCGGTGAGTTTCATCAAACTAAAGACGGAAGCAGCTGTGTGCTTTATGAAAACTCCAGATTAACACCAACTGATATATGGGTTTAACCCAGACCGGTACATAACTGGTAAAAAAAAAAAAACTTTTTTTTTTTCTTTTACTGTGATTGTTTCTGCAGATATCCATTATATAACTTGTTAAAAACCTTCGAAACACAAAAATGAAAGATTGTTTACTGAATCATCTAAAGTTATTCATAAAAGAGCTGTATTAATGTAGCTATCTTCATTTTTAATTGGGTCTTATTTTATTTTTGCTATTTTATTCACAGTAAATCCTTTTATATAGCCCTGCATAAACATACTCATATTTCTGTCTTTTTTTTTTAACAATTGTTTTCATATTTGTGGAGGATAAAGTTTCTGACCCCAAGAAGGACAGGCATCACATGACTCCCTGCTGTTGAATAATTAAATTTCATGAGGATGATGGCTCCTATTCAAGAAAGCACTTATGCACATGCTTTCTGTGATTAGCTCCACAATATGAGCTCTGTTTGTGTTTCTACCTGCTTCCTCCACCCTAGCAGCCTGCTTTTCATATTTACTCCTGAACAATCCTTTTTTCAGAAGGTCAAGTTAAACCGGGTCGTTTACCACACAAAAATCTGATGTGAAAGGTGGTTGAACTGTAAAGAGTTAAGGACCCCTGCTTTATTGCACTTATTCAGTTATTGAAGATTTAGCTTCTCTCCAGGGGATCCAAGCAGATTATTGGTTCTGTTTACTCTCAACCATTGAAAATAAGGCAGCTTGGTCCAAAGTTCAGATTTGACAAATACATTGCAACAAAAGAGAAGCCGGTCCCCATCTGTGTTCTGGTGTTTGTGCATGTTTTTGTTCTTGTCAGACAGCTGTCTGCGGAAAGATGACCGGGTTCTTCTCCTTCAGGCTTGGTACAGAGCCAGACCACGCTCAGCCCTGCTGTGATGAACACCACTGTGCTGCAGAATGCCACCGTTGTGACTCCAACCCCCGTGATTTTTAGCAGCACCACCCCAGGCTGTTTCGCTTTCAACGTTTCTACTTGTGAGGCTTGTGCACCAGGGTCACAGTACGATAACAGTGAGTCAGGGGGTTCTTTACATTATCTGTCTGCTTTTTTCTTTTAAAACCTTTTAGATGTACAAATTTAGCAAATTTTCCACATTTCTTTCTCTACCACACCAGACACCCTGCTTTGCACATGCTGCCCTGACCCTGGGCTGTGTATATTCCCCGGAGCATGTCTTCCATGCAAGATGGGTTTTCATCAGCCACTGGCAGGAAAGCAGGAGTGTCTGCCCTGCAGTCCAGGCTCCTACACAAAGTAAAACTGCACCCCTCTGAAAAGTTTTCCTTCTTATCACCTATACCGCCCCTGAACTCCCTGATTTTTCTATCTTTCCAGTTTTACTGGGAGCCCGTTGTGTCACCCCTGCCCTGCAGGATCTTTCAACAACAACACCGGTGGAGAAAGCTGCTCAAACTGTTCTCCAGGTGTATTTATTGAGCCACAAATAATTCCTGTGTCGTAAATCAGTAACAGCAAATCAATTTAAAGAAGTTGACTCTCAGATCACAGTTCAAATATGTTTACATTACTGTAATCTAAAGTCAGATAAAAACCTTGACTCACACATTTGTTATTTTTTCACCTTCTGCTTTCAGGTTTCTTTGCATCAAAGCTCGGCTCCACTTCCTGCACACCATGTGCACAGGGAAGCTTCTGCAAGTAACTTCTTCTTATTATTATTTATTCTGTTGTTGTTATTCTCTAACCAGGATAAAGAACAAGTTTTCCTTTTTTTGCCAAAGGGGTGGGGATCACTCATCCAACCCCTAAATTGAACATCACATGCTTCCATTTCACGGCTATGCTTGCCGGCACACACAAACACACACGCATACGCAGACTGAACAGCTAGGGCTCTCAGCATTCACTGGCGGATATAAAAATCAAAGCTCTGTGTATGATCACGTCTTAGTGGCTTTTAAGTTGACCTTTGAACAAAGTTCCTGTCTGAGATCCTGCCAGGATAATTTTTTTAAATTTTATTGAGAACATTTCTAGAAATTTGCACGTGCATTTGCTTTGTGCTCGGTCTTATTTATGCACAGAGGTGCCTTCAGTTGGTTTCTGCACTGATTTAACCTGGAGCTCTGCATGCATTTGATCAAACTAATTAGAGTACTGCTCAGCTTTATTTCACTAATTGATCAATCTATTGGTCAATGGCACCTTTAAAAATTGTTCACTTTAAATCTTAAGTTGGATGAAAACTTTTCCCTCTGAGAAATGCTGATTCACAGGATTAACCATGTTCTTTTCAAGACCTGTTTGTGATTCCATTGACTAAAAACACTCTAATCTCTTTTTTTAAAGGAAATAAAAATCATTGCAGTATGGGTCATAACTTAAAAGCTAAAAGGTCTGATAGCATGTAAATGCATTTGAACTCTTCTGTTTTTGTTTGTAATGATAATACTGCATAAAACTGCTTTTTTATTTGAAAAAAATATATATTTTCCTACAAGTTTGAATTTATTGTACACTTTTCCTGACGCCCCTTAGAAAGATGCACCACTACAGAAGCGTATTGCATTCACCTGAGAAAAAAAATGAATTGGTTTGAAAACATTAAGTTTTTCTAAATTAACAAGAAAACTTTATAAAAATATATAAAAACATGCCTTCGGCAGTGGTCCCCCTAATTAAGCCAGTCATCAGTCCCAAGATCATGACAGAAATTGGTTAGGATCTTTAAAGGTAAATCATGACCTGTGGGAAAGTCAATGTTAGAAGGGGTGCAAACTGAGAAACGAGCTCCTGCTTTAAATTCCACACCTTTAAGATGACCTAAAATGTGTAAATTAGACAAAAAATTAACGGTTTCTCATAAATGACTATAAGTTTCCCAAGGGGATGCTTTAAAACCTTGAAACATTGCACCAGCTGAATGGTTGTAGCATGAAGCTGAACGAACATCACATTAATGGTGGAACTAATACATATAATAACACAAATCGGATTGCATAAATCGACAGCTCGATGATGGAAACTTGGTTTTAGTTTCATTCTCATCGTAAAAAATAAATAAATAAATAAATCCATCTTTCTCAGGCTAATATTTTTGCATGAAAATGATCTTGCAGCCCTTAGAGACCCATCTCCAGTCTGTCCAGTCTTCCTGCATTACTGTAGTCATGTAAGCCAGAGAGTTGAGGAGTCTTAAACAGCTATATGCACCTCTCCTTTTGTTGGCAGCTCATCTGGTTGCACGCAGTGCCCGGTGTGTCCTGGAGGAACAGAAGCTCTGCAGACTGCTGCTAAAGACTGCACCCCCTGCCGGCCAGGTATTCACACCAGCGCTTTTATGCTGCTCATTTTACAAGAGAAGAAGGAGTGTTTTGAAACCAGCTTGGGTTTTAACAGGTATGTACAAGACTCCCAATCAGAGGATGTGCCAAATCTGCAGCAGCGGCTATTACCAGATCCTCTTTGGTCAGGAGAGCTGTGATCTCTGCCCAGAGAACCACTACTGCCCTGTGAGCACCGCACACTCTCAGATCAATTGGAAGGGTAACCTGCACTGTATGACGGAGCGAGTTGTCCTTTCAGAGCCCTGATGTGAACCCCATCCAGTGTCCGAGTGATGCTTTCTGCCCCAAAGGGAGCACGGCTCCTGGTTACTGCATGGAGACGTTCTTCAGGAAAGCAGGGGACACCTGTGAACTGGCGCCGGTTACCATCGCTCTGCTGGTTATAGGAGGAGGCGGTGAGTGGTTGGTTTTAAAGAAAAACTGACAGTGGAGAGAAAAATACTCTTTAAATAAAGCTTAGAGGTCTGATCTGTGAAGTAGTTTAGCACATGTTTGAGTCTATATGTTTACAAGTTCTGGACAACTGAACCACAGTTTCTTCTTTTCTTTTAACTCCATACATAAGAAGATCTTATGACTAAATGTGTCTCAGTCAGCAGTTAGAAGTTAAAACATAATGAGAGGAAATCAGAATTATCCTATTATGTTTTAACTTCTAACAGCTGACTGGGACACATTTAGTCATAAGATCTATTTACTTATGAAGTAGAGCTGATAAAATGAAATCATGCTGGAACACCAATGCAGTGTCTGTGGTGATCACGTCCTCACCCTGTTCTCCAGTGGTCTTACTCTGCATCATTCTGCTGGTTCTTCGTCGACGCCGGGACCATGACAGGGAGCTGGCAGCCGCCCTGACTCCTCTGCTGCGCAAAGAGCGACCTCAGGGCCGGTACTACGGCCTGCCCTGTGACACAGAACCAGTCTATGCTGGCTGGTGAAACACAACCAACGTGAACTCTGAAAAATCCTCCAATCTGTAAATCACCTAAAATAGAGTGACAAACCCATGTGACTCATTCCAGGATTTCTGATGTAGTCTTTTAAAAAACTGTTTACTGAGAAAAAAAAAAAAACTCTTAAAGGACTTTATTGTTGGAGAATTGAAGTTTGACATTAAGATGTGTGGAAACTTTTTATTATGGAAAGCACTTTTTATACTGTTGGAGAATTATTTATGTCATTTTCTGCATCCAGCTGTTTGGATGCTTTTATTGTTTTATGTAAAAAATAAAAAAAATAAAATAAAAAACGCAGCTTAATTTTAGTTTGCTTGTTTTTTCATTCGGATGACTCTTTGCTTATTCCGGTTTACGTTTAGTGTTTTTAAGATTTTATTTGTATGTTCAAAGATGTAAAATAAATCAAATAATACATTTGTTTATCCTGTGTTCTCTATTGACAATTGATGTGATGGAATAAGTCATGTTTTAGGTCAGTCCTCCAGTATTTGATGGATTTAGGACTTTTGTGAAATTTTTAGATGTCATTTTAAAATAACCACAGGGAATTTACATTGAAAATGTTTTGTTTCAGACAATTCACTGCTGTGAATTAATAGAGAAATCAATAGGCAAGGCAAGGCAAGGCAAGGCAAATTTATTTGTATAGCACAATTCAGTACAATGACAATGCAAAGTGCTTCACATGATTAAAATACAGGAAAATAAACAGAATCAAAGCAAGCAGGGAAAAAGTAAATAAAAAATGCAGAAACAAGAAAGAACATTAAAAACAGTTGGACTAAAGAAAATAACAAAAGAATTTGAACTAATGATGTTTCAGTTGAACTTTTTAACTAGAACAGTCAAAGGTAATCCTAAACAAATGTGTTTTTAGTCTTGATTTAAGGGAACTCAGGCTTTCAGCATTTTTATAGTACAATTACAACAATAGTTGTTATTGTTATATATATAATTATAAGTATACATATTTTTGCTATAGTTTAGGATGGTAATAAGCTTTATTATATAAGATTGTGGACACAATCAATGAATCACACTTCAGCTTCAAGTGCTCTCAATGTACATTGACAAGAATGTTGGGTGCACACATAATGAATCGGCACAGTTATTTATCCAAAGAATATGACTCCCACTGCGGCAACCATAAACACTTCTGTTGCATAGAATATCATATGTCTAATCCTACAGTGCTGCAATTTTTTCCACTATATTAAAGCTCATGCAAACAATGAACTGAACACTGTGACAGATACCCCTGCTGAAGATCACATAAGCATGTTTTAAGAGGAACATCTATACAGAGGACTAGTGGTGCAGGAGACCATTAATAAATTAAAATATAGAGTTTTGAGGAGCAGAAATAAATCAAATAAAAAGTGGATATTTTAAGTAGATAAAATTTATTTTCACTTAAAGAGCCAGACAGCACTTGTTCTTCAGTGACCGCTAGGTGGCAGCAGTTTTACAGAATAGTGCTTTATTTAGCTATTTATTTCAAAATTTTATTTTCCTATCCAATACATTTATATATATATATATATATATATATATATATATATATATATATATATATATATATATATATATATATATATATATATATATATATATATATATATATATATAGAGAGAGAGAGAGAGAGAGAGAGAGAGAGAGACAGAGAGTGAGAGAGAGAGAGAGAGAGAGAGAGAGAGAGAGAGAGAGAGAGAGAGAGAGAGAGAGAGAGAGAGAGAAATTTAGAATATGCATATATAGACTAAATCCTTTGGGAAGCTAAATATAACAAACAAACACATATAACAACAGTACAAACGATAAAACATAACAAACAAACATACATAAATACAGACATACATGCATGCATACCTATTTATTTATTTATATATATATATCAAGGGCTGAAGGAGGAGCTAGAAAAGATGTGGAAAGTAAGAGCAGCAGTGGTGCCAGTGGTAACTGGAGCACTGGGGGCTGTGACCCCCAAACTGGGAGAGTGGCTACAGCAGATTTCAGGTAAAACATCAGAGGTCTCTGTCCAGAAGAGCGCAGTCCTAGGAACAGCTAAGATACTGCGCAGAACCCTCAAACTCCCAGGCCTCTGGTAGAGGACCCGAGCTTGAGGATGACCATACCACCCCACGAGGGGTGAGAAAACAGTTTGTTTATATATATATATATATTTATATTCTAAATTTTATTGTATAACCTACACAGTTTTGAGAAACTAAAAGCAACAAAAAGCTTACAAACAATAAAATATAACAAACAAACGTACATAAATACATGCATATATCACCAGTTGGTGGCGGTAATGCTACCGTCTCTTGTTTCCGAACTGCCAATAAAACAATGAGAAGAAGACATTGCAGAAAACATGGCGGCGGCCGCGGTCAGAAGGTTGTCAGGTGAGCTTCTGGTGTTTTTATTATTTACTATGTTTATCTGAAATTGACTGTATGATCTGGTTGAACTGTAAAGTGCCTTGAGATGACATGTGTTGTGAATTTGGCGCTATATAAATAAACTGAATTGAAATTGAATTGAAACATTAATCAATCGTTTAATGCCGTTATTGTCAAATATAAAACAGTCTGCTTTCTGGCCGCGGTAATTTTTAGTTGCGGGATGGGGAAAAGCTTTTTTTCTCCTGCTCTGTGTTCATATGTTGTTTTTCTGTTTTTACACCAGGGCTGCTGAGGCCTCTGTCCCGATCTATCGGAACCAGTCCTCCTCAAGTCCGTCAGCTGTCTGGGTTCATCCACTATCAGCCTTTCATCAGAACAGCTCCCGCCGCTGTCTGCGCCCCTATCCGGGCTGCTGTTGCTCAGACTCCCCGCTACCCCCTGCTGCATCGGTAATCTCACCATCATATATTTCTCATCATGATCAACACGTTTTTATCATTGCTATATTATTAAGTTCATATGTGGTAGACGTAAAAACAGCAGAAAGTTTGCTTTTGAAACAGTCATCAGATTTAACTTCATAAGGTGAAAAATAACAGGATCCAGAGACCAGAAGAAAATCTGGAAAGGAAATTAAACTTTAAACCTAATAAACCAGCAGCCTGCAGAGTAAATACATCTGTATTGGGTCTGCAGCTATGGATTATTTTAGTGGCAGCAGCAGAGAATGATGAGTGAGGGGCAAAGGAGGACCCTGACTTTTTATGTGAGGTCAAAGATAACTGACACTGCAAAATACTGCAGCAAATATAAAGTATTGCACAATTCATGTTACTACATCCTTAACATAAAAATACACAGCATATCAGTTGTTTTCAACTATCTAGCCCAAACTAAGCTGAAACTAACCTGTTTGAAGAGTGGAAAATATAACATAGAGCATCATATTCATCTTTTCTCCTGTTAGTATGATTTCAGTTAATAATACCTTACATAAGTGGCATATTTATGTTTTTTTATTATCAAATTGTATCATTACATGATATAACATTTTAGGCATAACATTCAGAAATATGAGATAATTAAATAGTTATTGCTATGTTTCTTTTTTCTATAAAAAAGAAGACTTTTTAACAATCCAGAGCTGTGTGTTTGGAGTCAAAAGAGGACATAAGAGAGATGAGGACCTAGTTATATGTCTTACTAACACAACAATGATGTAAATGTTCCCAGTATATTAAGGAAAACTTTATTATTTAGGATTGGACTGCCTGCAGGACTGATAAACAATACGATCATATAAAGCAGGGGTTCCCAAACTTTTCACCCCCTAAACCCAAAAATAATATTTTTTTTCTATTTTCACTCTGTCTTTAAATACCCATTTACTGAGGTTATTGCATTAATTTTTAATACCATTATTTTAGATATATTAATTATGTTAATTGGACATGTTATGTCCAGTTAAATTGTAATTATAGTTGTGCATTTTATAATTTAATCTTACATTTACTGTACTATTTTTATTGATTTAAATGAAATATTTACATAATTTATGGTATATTTTCGTATTACAAAGGGAATTCAAATATATGGATCTCAAGATAAATTTTGGCCCTCTATTTACCTCAGGAAACGCATCGAAATAATTGTAAACATCATCTTGCAACCCCTGACAGTGTTTTGTTGCCCCTTGGGGGGTCCTGACCACCGGTTCGGGAACCGCTATTCCTAAGGACCATTTATTGTGTTTAGCTTCTTCAAGTGCATCGGTTTTCACTACAACAAGCAACTAGTTTTCTATTACAAGCAGGGCATTTATGTTCAACTGTAGCTCAGATGAAAGTATCTCTGTTTTCTGTTCCTCATGATAAGGCTGGTGATGCTCGATCCAATTAAAACCAACCTCCTCTGTTCTCAGATTTACTGCTAACCTCAGCCTCGGTTATTCTGCTTCCATCAGTTCCCTAGCGTAAACACTTAGCTGTATGTCTCCCATTGACTGCCACTGTGGAGTAACCTTCGTCTTCCAAGCTGATGCTTTATCCTAGCTGTAGAGCTAGCAGCTACAGAGGAGCGCGAGGGGACATGATGCTGCTGCTGCTTTGTAACTTGAGCACACTCTTTAAGAAGATTTATTAGAGAAGAGCTTCAGCAGTCTTAAAACCATTACTTTTTCATGCTTGGCTTTATAATAAAACTTGTAACTTTAACTCTAGCTAATTAGGCCCGAGCAGCATAGCGCTGCGAAGGCCTATTGTATTTCGAAAGTTTCTTATTAGGCCCGAGCAGCATAGCGCTGCGAAGGCCTATTGTATTTCGAAAGTTTCTTATTATTAGGCCCGAGCAGCAAAGCGCTGCGAAGGCCTATTGTATTTCGAAAGTTTCTTATTATTATTATTATTACGATTCTTGTAGCACTTTGAACGCATTTTACGGGGACTTCGCATATTCAAAAACTCAGGAAAACGTGGCAGTAAATTGTCCCCCGCGTGAAATAGCCGGTCTGTAATGGAATCCAAAATGGCCGCCCCCAAATTACGCCACAGCGCCCCCTAACGTGAGTTGGGGGAAACTGTAAGTCCCAGAGATTTGAAAGTTGGCACACAGGTAGATCTCGTAAAATCATGAAAAAAAGTCTCTTGGAGGTATGCCCTAAAACCCACAGGAAGTCGGCCATTTTGGCTCAAAGTGCGATTTTTGGC